AAAAAAAAAAAAAAAAAAAAAAAAAAAAAAACAACAACAACAAAAATAAAACAAAAAAGAACTCATATAAATTATGTAGAAAATATTTAAAATTTATTTTTAAAATGTCTTTTCATATGTCATGCATGTAATATGTTATAAATGTCATAGGTGGCATTTCATTTTTTATTTTTCCATGCCTATATCAACCATAATCAGTAATTCCTCTCTTTTTTAGAGGTATGACTTTTTATCATCCCAAAGACACATTAATGTTACATTTCTGAAAACTCAGTGTCCTCTATTGTCCCAGAAGCTCAGAGATATGTTTTGGCTCGTTTATTTGTTTGGCTGCTTATTTTTTTCTTCTTTGGTACAGGGGATTGAACTTGAGTCCTTTTGCCAGGCAGGTGCTGTTCTGCTGAGCCACATCACTGTTCCGGGTTTCTTTTGTTCTTACTTGTGTCAAAATCGATGACTGCTGGGAAAAGGTTAAAAATCAGCAAGGGAATTTAATTTTGTTATCTATATTTCTAGAGGAGTTTTTATTCCTGGATAAAATTTAGGATTCAGGGTTTTAATATATGTGTATTTCCCACTTTTCTAAATTAAAATTTCTTTTAGAAAAAGATATTTTCTTATTAACTGTGAAGTATTTTCTACATAGTAGAGTTTGAGTAATTATTGAATTTAGTTTGAATAATTATAAATCTTCAAGTTCCCATCAATACTAAGCCCATTTCTTTTTTTTAGTGTGAATATATATGAGATAGAAATGTAAACATTTGATAAGCCTGAAGTAGATATATTAAGCATAAGAAATGGAATAGTGAATATGAAAATTCCAATATGAAATAGTATTTATGACACATTAAAGTGACGTGAGCACTACCCATGAAAATAATAAAAGGATATTTCAGTCAATCAAAAGGCAGTTTGAAGTCATATTGTTAATGAGTGAAAAAAGTTAATAAGAAAAGATTAAAGGAACAGATGGAGAGATATCAGAAGCAGATTTCACTTAATTTCTCTCAGAGTTAGCCTTCATCCCTTTCTTGAATAAATAACTGAATATAAAGACTATTATCCAACTTTGATAGTGGGTCTTAGACATCAAATTCCATTCTTACCCAAAATGTAGAACAGAAACAAGCTGCAAAAAAAGAAAAAGCAAAAAAAAAAAAAAAAAAAAAAAAAAAAACACAAAAAACCCATAAGCTAATTTGTGACTTGGGGAAGACTGTTGTGATGATACTAGTATACTAATTCACTAATGGAAATAAGAGAGTTACAGAGGATAATGCCAGAAAAAGCTGTTAAGTAATTCATAGTAGATGTAAAAAGGATATTGCTCCATTAGACCACCTTTCGTGGTATTCTAATGACATGGTTGTTACACACTACTAATCTTCAATTTTTTGTAAGATTTCTGTTCTTCTCAGATACATTCTTTACAAGGGTATGAACAATATAGGTAATCTGCATTCCTACAGCTGACTCCCATCCCCAATCCTAAGCATTTTTTGCTATGTTTCTTCCTAATTTCATTCTTTTTTTCTGTTGGTTATCTCAAATTACTATTTTCATTCCTATTAGAAAAATTGTTCTCATGCAATATATAGCATAGCACATATGCTTTAGATCTCAATATCTAAAAATTGGTTACACTGGTAAACATCAGTTTTCTTTCTTAGTGGCCCAGGGAAACACAAATTTCAAATGCCCTCGTCTAATTTTTTTAAAAATACAGTCATTAGAACAAATAACCTCTTCCATGGAAAAGAAAATGATGCCTATAGTATAGAAGAAAAAATAAATTGAATCTGGATTTTTTTTAAAGCGGGAGCAAGGAGAGCCTGAAAGATAAATGTAAAACAAAATGCAAAGAAAATAATCTCATGTATGAAAGCAACAAAGATTATGCCATTCAAGCAGAGCACAAAGGTTATCAGATTTTATCATCCTTTGTCTCCAAGAAAGCTAATTAGAATGAAATTTTTACAAGTGTTTGAAAATATGTAGTAGTGCATATTGACATCTCCACTGTCTGGGGAAACTTGTTACTTGCTCACTGTCATTACAGATTTTAAATGTAAAAGCATATCTTATTTGATATAATAATGCTTTAATGATTGTATCAATTAAATTAGAATGGAACACAACTACTAAATCTAAATTTTATCTTTACAATTCTTTTTCTACTTTTCCTTCCATAGGCATTTGTAATATACTTTCCTAGTCAAGACCTTTCAGTATTGTCTTTTTAAACCTATGTATCTGTTCTATAAAGCATTAATTCACAACCTTACTTTGATGCTATTTCCCATTCGCAGCATACTCAAAAACATCCTTTAAACTTATTCTCTTTATTCCTTTTCCTGGGCTCCTCTGTTAAGTAATATTTGTGAGAAGCAACTTTGCTCTTAAAGGCATTTTGTAGAGCAATAGTGTATACTGTCATTCCCATCTTTTTCCTTAGCAGATGTAGAAAGTAGGAGTCATGTATAATGAATGCTATTTCTTCAGACAATATTCATATAAATTAAATTTGCCATACCTTTTAATGAATGTATATGTGATGACTTCATTTTTTCTGTTGCATTCATATTAGATTCCCAGCTGGAGATTTATTTAGTACTAGAAACCAAGATGAGGACCTGTTCTTTTTATATCTATATATAATGATTATGTGTTATTGTAATAAACATTCTCTGATGGGCTGAAGAGTACATTTAATGTAATCTGGCAAACATAACTAAGATGCATTAACTGGTTAATTTCTCTAAAATCTGTGCATTGCTTATATTGAGTAAATATTTTTACTTTTCTAGTTTTATAAGCAAGAGTTGGGGGCATAGAATGTAAATATGAATAAAACATCACGTTTGCTTCTAAGGATTTCAGTCTAGAGACAGCATGAATAAAACAATTATGATAGAGATGTAATTATTGGTCTGTTTCTCTAATGTGCTATCAGAAGGATTTCAGGAAAAAGTGAACTAAACTTCTCATGTAGAGAGCCTTTTCTCAGTAGAAATTCAAACCTTATCTTTCTTAAAACTAAAGTGAAACTAAAAAACTGTATTTATGTTTCTCACTCACCCACATCACATTTTCATGCCTACCAGGTTACCTGGATATATTGGATTCACAGCAAATATTTGTGCATGTAAGCTTATAATGTCTACAGTAACAAAATATATGAAGCTCTGAGAGTATAATTTTAAAACTATTTGATTCATTTTGCACTCAAATCCAATACTGCCACAATGAAGACAGTAATTGCAGTATATCCTTCTTAATGTGACTATTATACCCTTTGGGAACAGAAATGTAAGTGTATTTGATTATTGGATACTGTTTCTACACCTTTTTAGAGTCTTATGCAATTTTTACTTTGTGTACTGAACTACATTATAGTGTAAATGTCTGTGTGTGGGGTCGGGTGGGGGGGCGTAGGTGTGGAGTGTATGTGTTTCATTTCAAATATCCATGTAGCCTAAAGGGTCTCAGAAAATAAGAATCTACGTCTTGTTTGTGACTGAGCTATGATCTATAACCTGCTCAAACAGACCTTTCTTTGAATTTTCTTCAGGCATGGCAGCTCCTGGGGCAGCATTTTCCAACTAGTTCACAGTTGTCAGCTTCAAATCCAGGATCAATTGCAAGGCAGGCCCAGACAGCAGAGAACATTCTGAAAAAAAAGTATTGTTAAAGAAGCAACATTGTAAGTATTGTAAAAATTGACCTGTAGGACAACTATACCCTTCTTTAAAGTATACAAACCACTCAAAGACTCCTGTATGTACTTGAGAAACACAGAAACAACAATGGAAAAGTACTTAGCTTTAGTTCAGAGAGCTTAAACAACAAGCTAGGATGAATGAAGATATGACTTTTAAACAGATATTCATTGTTTCTTCTCATCAACTTACTTGTGATTATCACATTTTCCTTATTATCTTTATTGTAGATAGGAAAATGAATCATTTTCATGCATGTATCATATATGGTGTAGATATGATATAAAATATATATATGCATAAATTTGATATTTATTTAAAGTAATCCATATTTTAGAAAACTCATCACATAAAACTGCTATCCAGTAGCAAATAGCAAATTAATATATTTTCTTCCATAAATTATGAGTTGTATTTATTATTTTCAATGCATTAATATAGGATATTTTTATTTCTTTTAACCTTCAAATCAGTGACATATTCAAGGAATCTATAATGAATTTTATCTGTACATAAATTGTTTATGTCAGACTTTTTTCCCTTTATGTAGCAGAATTTAAAGATTTCATTTTCTTTTTGTAGGTTAGAACTGTAACTTTTCTTTACAAAAGAGAAAAATACAATCAACTCTTTGGGTCCTTTAAAAAATTAATCTTGAGAATTCAATTTCTTTTACCTCTTAATGTCTTAAGTCTCAATCATCTCTTTCATTTTTACAGAACAAAAACAGCAGTTTTCCTTAAATTGCTAAGTTCTATCTAGCTTAATACATTTTCTACCTCAGGCCTTTCTTGAGCATTCTATGATTACAAAGTTGTATAAAGAATAAAATGAGCCTTGTACTTCTTGACTGGAAGAAAACAGTCAGTCATTGGACTCTGGCTTATTGTTGAAAGTTAGGAAAGAGGTACAAACACAAATTGTCTCTGGTGATCCAAACTGACACCTTCCAAAGATTTCCAGGGGAAACTTACATAGCCCTCCATTCTCTTTGTATGATCCAGCATACTTAGGCCTGGCATTTAACATAAATTCCATAGAAATAACTAATCAAATATGAAAACCCATTGGTATTTTGTTTGTTCATGTTTGGAGTACTTTGTTGTTATGTGGTAAAATATGATTTGAAGATAAAATTTAAAAGTAAAAAAATGAAGATCTAGCTCAGTGGTACCTTACTTGTTTAATATGGGACTATGCCAAGAACACACAAAAATTCCTTAAAAGTTTTATACATAAAAGTCTAATTCAAAAAATTATGTCAAACAACTTGTCAATAATTTAATGCAAACATTGCTTAGAATGCTAACCTGCTCAATGCTAGTATTGCTAAAGTTGCTTAGAATGGGATAAAAAATATGCAAATTAAATTGATTAATCATGCTAGTGTGACATTTAGTACAGATTGATAGTCCCATGTACAATGAATTGAAGCACACTGTAATTCACCTTCAGATTATGAATCATCCTGTTACTCTATATAACATCTGATTTTTTTCTAAATATTTGTCTTCCAATTAGACCATGAGCTTCATAAGACGAAATTTCATTAGGATAACTCCTCATAGTACAAAGTACACAATTACTTCTTGAATGAAGAAAAACATCCTGAGGAATTTGATGAGGTTAAACGATCTACCACTTTGACCATAAGAAAATTTCAGAGATATTAAGTAATTTATTTTGGAAAATGAAATAAAATATAAGAAAAAAGCTATAGCGGTTTGAAAAGGTTTAAATTTATTTCATGTAAAAGATGAAATGTACCTGTTTTTGTTTCATTGGATGTGTGGGACTATGATAAAAGACAAGAAATTTCAGCAAAGTAGACTTCAGGTAAACATAAAGGAAGATTTTTATAAAAAAAAACCAAGTGTTTATAATATAATAAATTGATAAGTGATAAAGCAAAAGCCTTAAAAGAAATTTAAGTAGAGGAAGAATAAATGTCAGTTCTTATTGAAAAACTGTTATAGGATTAGTTGGGATTTCACATTAAAACAATCCTAATATCAACTACAGAACTGAATTTTGTGATTGTCTGATTTCATTATCTAATGTCAAATAAGAAATCAAAATTATTATAGTTTACTTGATGAACTTTTTAAATAAATGACATACTCAATGAAAACAATATTTTGTAGATGTTATGCTGAATTTAAAATGGTATAATTTATTTAAAATTGAGTTCAAAAAGCTTCACGGAAGTGAAAAATCAATTGGTAAATCCAAGTGTAATTACATGTTTAGTTAAAATAATGAATCTCACCTTGATACTGCTCAAATTCAATTGAGAATGGCAATGCTTTGAATCTCATATCAGTTCTTTGTCTTGCCTTTTAGAAAAGAGTCCTGAACTTGGTCAACATTTTCTCCCGCAATGGGGCCCTGGCTAATGCATTTGCTATTGATTCTTTCTGTCTATTTAGTCTTTTTAGCAGAGAACATTCCCACTCTGCTTCCCTGCCCCTGTGTAAACACCTGGGTAGAAGGAGCTGCAGTGGCCTCCTACCGTCATACTCATCTGTGCTTCTGGAACTCACACTGTCCAAAACACATTCTGCCTGACTTTGTGACTCAGACTTATGTGCCAGAGCTCTGCTTCAAACTGACAACCTCATATATGAGAGATATTGATAGATGATGCCAGTCATGTTTTCATATTAGCTGAATTTTCTTCATCAAAATACATGCAGAAGTTTTGGGCTTGATTATAGTAACTAGGAATTTCTGGAAGATCATATTCCTGTTGTCCAAATAGGTTGTTGTTTTTGCCTTCAGTGAACCCCCAGGAAACAAGTATTCCTACCTCATCAAACTTGGGGATGATCATGTGACAATGTTAAAATATGTAAGCAGGAGTACCCTTTGTCATTTCTAAGACAGTTTGAGAGTCCTATGTTCTTTTGTCTCAAACTAGCCAAATACAACTGTCAGCACTGGATTTATACTGCAGGAACCATGGAATCACTACACAGGCAGGCGTCAACCTGAGACTGGTGCTGAGTGAAAAAGGTCCTTTGTTGTTATAAACAGCTGAAACTCAGGGCTTGCTTGTTACCACAACATATTTTGTTCTATCCTGATGGATTAAAAGAATATACACACAAGAAGTATAAACATTATGTACTGCAATCATATACACAAAGAAAGGGAATCAAGAAGAGATGGGTGGAGGGGGGAGAGAGGGAAGGGAAAGCAGATGAAAAAACGAATTAAGATGTGTTACATGCATGAATCAAGTCCCCACAAGGAAGGTAAACATTGTGTAGTTCAGAGAAATGCTAATGAAAAAAGTATAAAACGTCACATTGTTCATGCCAGATATGTGAGAAGAAACAATAAGCAAACTGTACCAGACCCTGTAAACAAGGTGGAGAAGCAAGTTTGACAGAGGGAGAAGTTATTTGCATCATCTGTAAGGAGAGTTCCAGGGTGATTCAGAGGAATTCGACATTGGTTGATTCAGAAGTAATTTAAAGTAAAATGTATAATCACCTTGGATGGAAAACAGAAACTTTCTGACTTTATATGGTTTAATCATAGAAAAACTGTTGGTGGAGAAAGAAGGAACATGTTCCTGTGGATAGAGATATTAGGATGAGGTTTTTGGCTCCAGGAACAGAAAGGAAGTGACAGCTTCTAAGGACAGGAACAGGAAGAAATAACAGAATTTTGAAATGTGTTGGTTGAACAGCCTGGATGTGGGAGAAAATAAAAAGAGTAAGGTTTGTTAGTGGTGCCAAGGTAAAGTGGTTGAAAAATGAACATGCCACCAAATGGGAGGGAGAGGGAGAAAAAGAACACAGATAAGGAAAGACAGATGAATTCAGGAAGAAAAAGGGATGGCAGATCACGAGCTCAAGTGCAATCACTTGACATAATGAATTTGTGGCAGTAATTAACATGTATTCCCAAGGTTCCTTCTCTCCTATATGTGTGGAAAACGAGGATAGGTCACTACTTGGTACTGCTTCTGAAACATTGTTCATTTAGATTTAGTTTTGCAAATAAACATAGCACTTTTAGAAACTAATTCACATATAGAAAATTCAGTTTATGAATAAGTGGAAATATTGAGGCAGTGTTAAAAAATATTGATCTTATTAATTTCTAAAGGCACCCATTTCTAAAACATTAAGAAAGTATCGAGCATGACCCAGGGATTTAGCTCAGTGATTCCACTACCTGCCTTGCAAGCACAAGGTCCCCACTTTGATCCCTGGTAATGAAAAAATAAAAAATAAACATAAAATACGGAGCAGCTTGAACAATTATAGACTTTTAATCTTAATTTATCTGTACAGTACTTCAGAAGAATAAGACAGATTCTTTTAGAAATGAAAGTAAATATAACCATTGCTCCAACCTAGAGATTATAGGCAAAGGAAGATAATATGTAATGAGGAAAGAAATGAGGTAGGCTATCATGTCTTTTTATAGCTATCTCATATGTCAATAAAGAAAGAACTCTCAGTATCTGGGATTCCACTTAATTGGGGGAAAGATATTGAGAAATTTCTAGAAATTTCAAAGTAGGCTATGAGGTGAGGATGCAGTGCTGTGAGGAACTGAAGGCATCGTCTTCCTCTTTGTTATCTGAACAGTGAAGTAGTCACAGGATATGAATAAATAAAAAAGATAGCCCATGGCGTGAGAAAGCATTGGTTTTGTCAAAAACACTGGGGTTTGAGACACTAAGGTAAACACTCTTATTGCCTGTGACATTTGGAGACAGTTCATGGAATCGTTGACTCATCCATTCAAATACTTTCGGAATGAATTAATGCCGCCTGGCAGACACTAGTGAATGCACTAAAGCAAACAAAACTCCTTTCTGTATGGGAGATGAAGCTCTAAGTCAGGAAGACAGTAACAAGATGTAAAATGAAATGCATGCTAGATACTTTTGAATAATATATAGAGAAAAATTCAATGAAAAAAG